ATTTTATAAGAGGCACCATCTATTCTCAGTGAATTACTCGCATCTGAAGAAGACTCTTTCCGGCCACATTGGAGGAACGGTCAACAACGACGAACGCGTCTAACCTTCCAACGAATCGGTGGGAGATACTGTTCCAATTCCCATGCTCTTTTTCTTTTCTCCCATTTTGCCGTTCCCTATAAATTCTACTAATGCAGGGTATGACTGTATCAGCGAGCACATCTCAAATTTAACCCTCCGAAAACTGTTTACAAAATTACCATCAGCAGAGAAAGCGTGAAAGGGGCATCCTTTCTACCGAACAACTAAGTACATGAGTATGAGAGGAAATAATTTATTTGCAAGGTATTCAAAACAATCAAAATGATCATAATTCAACAAGACAAAACAGACGTCCGGTAATGAGACCAAGTAAATAACGAAACCCTTAGTAATGAACAAACATTGGTGGAGGTGGCATTGGTGCGTTCATCACTGGAGGTGGTGCTTGGGGCACATCGTTGTCATTTACACGAGAGTCAATTCTGAATGCGACCTGAAACTGGCGATAATTGACTCTATTCCACAAATATCAAAGAGAGGTTGTTCCGAGGACGAGTAGGTCTGAAAGGTCCAAAGCTCCCCATGAACCCTCTCCTCACGATAATTCAGTTGGACTAGGAAAAGGAAGAAGACTGAAACAAATCTACACCAACGGACCACAGGATTGATCAATGGAGCAGTTTCTTTGAACCATTCATCCAAAAAAGGATAGAATACCAAGACAGTTATGTTACCTGTAGGAAGAACTGCATCGAATCCTTGTTCCACATGGTCCAAAACTTTTCCGACTTGTCAACTTCCCTGGAAACAGGCATAGTTAGAGCAGCATTTATAATAATGATTTGAATAACATTTCATTATAATCCTTGAATGTTGCATAAATAACACTAGACTTCTCATTTGGAATATCTGGCACAATCTGTAGGCATGCCCGACAAGAGGTTCGATGAAAAAGCTTAACGGGTTGCGAAATCCTCGGCTAAATGTGACCATATTACAGAATATGTTATTATACAAACGAGGACAAACATATTTGCACCAACAACTTAGCGTGAAAGACGACGCGGCAGTGGGCAATACACGTTAGGCGGATATAACAACTTCCGGAATTCACTTCCCATGAAGTGATGGTTGCTATTAGCTTGGACGGCAGTTTTGAGCGGTCCCATTTGTCCCTTAAACGAAAACCAAACATAGAACTCATAAATAATCACAAACTCCATTACGGCAGCGTAAAAATAGTGGGCTGCAAAAGGGAAACATAGATGAATAATACAGAAATGAAGTGGCGACCCAGCAGTTTGCTCAAAAAATTAACTATGGCAGA